AGAGCAGTGAGGGGTACAGGGGTTTTGCTCCCACTGCCCACCCTGGTTTGGAATGATTTCACTAGCTGAGGATGTGACTGCCAAATGAGGTGTAACTTAAAATATATTTCTGGGACGGATGGAAACTGGTGGCATCTTTCCTGTAAGAGTGTCCCAGAGTATCCAGAGAGATAAGACACCCCAAATGGTGGGGGTGAGAATGGGTCATGTGGGGACTATGAGAAGAGCTGTTTTCTAAGGGCCCCCTTGAGAGAGAATGTCTCCCCTTGAATACATTATGCTAAATGAAAGAAGTTAGTCTCAAAAGTCCATATATTATATGATTGCACTCATATGAAAGTTCAAAACAGGGAAATCATAGATACAGAAAGGAAATTAGTGACTGCTTAGGGAGCAACAGGGAAGCAATGACCAATGGCTATGGGTTTCTTCCCAAGGTGATGAATACACATGTTCTAGAGTTGACTGTGGCGATGGTCTGCATACGAACACCATTGAAGTGCATACCTTCACTGGGTGATTTACATCTTGTTAAAGCTATTATAAAAGAAAGAGCAAGAGACTTTCTTCCTGCCATCTCACTATGAAACCTGGTGATATAGATAAGCCATGCTAATAAACAAGCCAGAGCCGAGCACCAGCGGCTCACAGATGTAATCCTAGCTGCTTGAGAGGCAGAGATAAAGAGGATCATGGTTTGAGGATAGCCTGGGCAAATAGTTCTTGAGACCCTATCTCAAAAATGCTCAAAGAAAAAAGGACTTGTGGAGTGACTCAAGTAGTCGGTAAAGTGCCTGCCTTGCAAGCATGAGGCCCTGAGTTCAAATGCCAATACCACCAAAAAAAGACAAAAAGAAAAGAAAAGAAGCCAGCCTAATTATTTAAAGGGCCCATTTGTAAGGTGACACATTCAGAAGGTCCTGAGGGTCTGCCAGGGGCTGGGCTTGAGCACAAGGTGGGCTTCTGGACAACTGTGGATAGGGGTCCTTACTATAGACTCCAGGAATCTGCATGAAAGTGTGTGTGTGTGTGTGTGTGTGTGTGTGTGTGTGTGTGTGTGTGATTGAGGAAGAGAGAGAGTGTGTGTGTGTGTGTGTGTGTGTGTGTGATTGAGGAAGAGAGAGAGCAAGCGAGAGAGAGAGAAAGATGGATATTAGAGAGAACATTCCTGGTTTTCCAGGAAACCAAAACATAGTCTTTGTCAGATTGGTAAAAGCTCACACCCAAGACAGTCTGGCTTAATCCCAAGGTTTCTCTGACCGTCACTGGCAGCTCAGAGCCAGCACTTGCGTCTAGCATGGTGCAGGTACAAGGCGTTGGCAAGCACTCAGCTTGACTGTGCTCTGACTTGCCTTCTTTGTCCTGCCCTTGACTCCTGACCACAAGCCACAGACCACACAGGGATGAGGGAGCCAAAAAGAGGTTAAGTAAGAAATAGTCTGCTTGTCACAGACCAGGCATTAACAGTCACTTCTCAGACTTTGTCATTTCCAGGTGCCTCCTGTGCATTAATTTACCTTGTAGGCATTCTATACATACTTTTCCCCAAAATGACAATATTACTGCAGTAACCCTAAAGACAACATCACTATCCAATTCACCTTTGCCTGCTCTAAGAGAACCTCCGATATCCGGCTCTACCCTGAGTCCTTCTCACAGGAGTCAGAAAACCCAAAGAGAGGGAGAGAATCCTGTGGCATTCAGGTTCCCCAAAGCCAAGTCCATTGGCCACTGATAAGCATGTTTGACCCCCAGTGTTCCACATGGATTCCACAGAGAAGTCCTCTCCCTCTCCCACCCATGGGCAACCTAAGTCCCCCCTTTGGGGTTTGGTTCCTCAAATGCTCTAATTTAGCCGTGCCCATCTACCAGAGAACTGAAGGCCACTTAACTAATCTGGGTGCCAATGGCTGGATGGACCTTCCTGCTGTCCCCCAGGAAGTCACCTGCTGTGAGAAAGGCTGACTTTACCCCCACAATTATCTGGTATGGGAAAGTGCCATTTTGTCAGCTCTGTTGGAGCTGAGGGCTGCAGACATGTGCAGGACTCCCTAGGAGCCTACAAAAATGGGACCTGGATGACATTGACTTCCTCAGATGGTCACAAGGAGACCAGGCCAAGGATGCTGAGGAGAAGGGTGTCCCAGGTGATACCTCTCTCTGCGCACTAGATGGACAGACCCACTGACCCTCCCATTTCTCCATGTGACCCTCTCATGCCTCCTAAATCCAAGTCCTGCTCAGTCATTGACACACTCGTATCCCTGAGTCAGTGTTCTTTATGGAAAAAGATCAAATAATCTGTTTGATCCTAAACACAACTGTGGATAAAATCCACATGTACATCTTATTCGATGGCTGTCTAAGGATTTTTAGTTAGTTTATTTTGCTCTGATTTTAATAAAGAGTGCAGTGTTTCCCACTGGTCTACCACATGCCTTCAGGCAATCTTGGAATCCTCACTGGAGGAGGTTTTCTGGTCAGAGGACATCCATGTCTATTCAGTCAGCATAACTTGCTTTTGATAAATCCAGATTCTTCATTACACTGATTTTTCTACCTAAATGTGACTCTTTCCTGATGCTTCCAAGCCAAGAGGACACCTGTGAAGACAGTGGTATCTCTTACTCAGCAGGTGGGCAGTAGGTACAGGGAGATAGGGTCCAGGTTCAAAACCAGTTGTCAGCACAGGGCTGTAGGGCTGGGAGCACAACCCAGCTTCAGCCCCAGATGCTCAGATGTCAATGCCAAGCAGAGCCTTCTCCACATTGGCCCCAGTCCAGTCCTTATTTGGGTGGGGGACAGGTAGATGAGGTTGGGCTAGGATGAAGAGGGTCAAGGAGAAGTAGACAAACCCCAGCTACAGTTTGTACATCTGGGCCACCAAGGGTATTACCAGCGCTGTGTTTGTCGTTGTGCTCCTTCCTGAAAACAGTTCACTGACCCTGATTCACCAGCTGGGGTGTCTTCTGGCTAACCCTGGGTCATGCTTTTCTCACACTTGTCCCCAGTCATATGAGGAGATGGGACAGACCTGGGCCTGTTCGCTTCAACCTGGACTCTGATAGTCTGAGCTTTGTGCTATAAGGGGTCTGTCTTATAGTCTGACTTCTATAAGGAGTCAATTCTAAAAAAATTTTGTTTTGTTCAGCAAAGATCAAAAGAATCTGGTGGGTGTTACTGTTTTTGCCTGATTGTTTTGTTTTGTGATGCTGGAAATTGAACCCATGTCTTGCCCTTGTTAGGCAAGTGCTCTACCACTGAGCTACATCTCAGCCCTTGCTATTTCCGCCCCCCCCCCCCCCCCCCCCCCCGCTCTTCTCATTTCAGGCTCTGCTTTTTCCCACATTTAAATACCAATCCCAATTTCCTGGCCCACCTCCTGTGTGACCAAACACCAGCCATTTTGGCCTAGCTCCTACCATGCAAGAGGCATTGATCCAGTTAAGCCAGAACTGATCAGTTGTGAATAGACACTCATTTGACATTTTCTTGAGCTGGCTGGCACCCTTAAATATCAATGCCCCTAATGCATGAAAACGTTACTTTTCAGATCATTAGCCACATAAATCAGAAGATGGAGACAAGGTAGAAGGAAAAACATGGCAAACTGTTAGATATCAGGGACCTGGAGGGATCTGTCAAAGAGAAACATTTGGGAAGTGAGTGGATGAGGTGGAAGGGGCAGTGTCAGAGGACTGGTGCCCTACCAGTGAGGACCCAGGTCTGTGAACATCATGGGCTCTCCCCAACCACAGAAGATGGCGGGTCTTGAGGAAGACAGACTGCAATCAGAGACCCAAGTGAATGCTGCAGAGAAGGCAGAGGGTGCTGGAGAACCCATGACAGGGACCTAATCACATCCAGAGGGGATGGGATGCTTCCTGGAGAAAGCAATAAGTAGGCTGAAACCCAAAGGAAGGGGAAGGAGGGATTCACCAGATGAATGGAGCTGGGATGTAGATGGCTTGGAGTGTAAGAGGGCAGTCATTTCTGCCATTTTCTTAGCAAGCAAGATAATTCTGTACCCCATGGTCTTGACCTAGAGCAAGTTTTACCACCACCCAATTCTTTCACACACAAACTGTTTCCTCTCCAGATTTTCCATACTGCTAAAAATCTTTCCATCACTTGAGTCAGGTTTGTATGAGAGGTGGCTCAAGGGTAGGAGTTCTCAGTTCTCTCTGAGGCCAGCTATCACAGTACACTGCATTGGGGCCAGTGGCCTTGCTCCCCTGCCCTGGTCCTCATCGGCTCCTGGACAGAAGACTGAGATGTCTGGTTGCAGACGTCCTGTAGCATTGCTACAAGAGTTAACTGAGTTAATATTTGTACTTAGCACAGTGTGATGTAAGTGTTTGCTAAATAAAGAATTTAAATTGTACTTAAGAAGTAAAGAAAAGCAGCCAGATGTGGTGGTTCATGTCTGGGATCCCAGATACTCAGGAGGCAGAGATTGGGAGAATCATAGTTCAAGACCAGGCCCTGCAAAAAGTTAGCGAAACTGCATCTCAACAAACAAGCCAAGCCAGCAACGGTGGTACACGGCTGTGGTCCCAGCTATGTGGGAGCCTGTAGGTAGAAGGACAAAGGTCTAAGTCTGGGCCTAGGGAAAATTCAAGACCCTGTCCAAAAAAATAACTAATGTAAAAAGCAAAAGGGCTGAGAGCATGGTTCCAATGGTAGAGCACCTGCAAGTACAAGGATCTAAGTTCAAACCCAGTATCACAAAAAAGAGAAAAAGAAATGAGAGGAAGGGAAGGAGGAAGGGAGGAAGGAATGAAGGAAGGAAAGCAAGCAAATCAGCAGGAAATTGGACACCTAGACTAGGGCCTTGGGGGGACAGAAGTCCTTTTTGGTGAGGACCATGCCCGCTCTGTTCTCTTTGCCTTCTTCCTGGGTTTCTGCTTCCTCACAGTCCCTTATGACCACTAGGGCTCGGACCCCCAAAGGTTGTGCTCTCCTCTGGTCTGACAGTCCCCCTGCCTCCTCTCATACAGGTCTTCGGCGGCCTGGTGTGGATCCTGATCGCTTCCTCCCTGGTGCCCATCGCCCTGGTCCAGGGCTGGGTGATGTTCGTGTCTGTGTTCTGCTTCGTGGCCACGACTACCCTGCTCATCCTGTACATAATTGGTGCCCATGGTGGGGAGACTTCTTGGATCGCCCTGGTGAGTACAGCCCAGAGTAGTTTTGGGGGGCAGGGAGGAGGTAGCGTCAGACCCTCTGTCCTGGGAGGCCGGTCGGCTTCTCCAGGGTAGAGTGAGACTGTCATGGAGATATCTCCCAGAACAGTCTAAGGCTCAGACTGTGCACAGCAGTCCCCACAGCGAGGCAGTCAGGAGGCACAGGCCAGTGGCGTGCATAACCAGCAGCCCAACCCCCTCCACACCCACCTGCACCCACCGGGTGGCCATTGGCAGCCTGTCAACAAGCAGGGCTGTTTCCATCTTGGGGGAGCAGGTCCACAGTGGTCAGGCTATACTTACTGCCTGGCTCCCTAAACGCTGACTTCTACACCAGAGGATTTGGGAACCTAAATGGCTGTGGTCTTCCTTCTGGATAAGTTCTGCTTTGAGGTCCTGGAAAAGGGCAACATTTACCCACGGAAAACCTGCTTGCTCCTTTCTAGAAGGGGATAGGGGCCATTTGGCCAGGCCTCTTTCTCTCAAAAGGCTTCCTACTTAAACCTTTGAAATCACTTCCAAATTACAACTACGAAAATCTTGTTTTAGTTCCTTTTTGCTTTGAAATGTACCAGGAGCCAAAAGCAATAAATAGTAAAACCAGCACGATAAAACAAAACAATGGAAATGGCCCTGCCTCTATCACTTGGCCCTGGGCAAGGGAGCCACATCCAAGCCACACTGCAACCACGTGTGACATGTCTCAGGTATAGAATCAGCACCTGCCTATTAAGACCCCAAGCCTGAGCCCACCTCAGGGAAGGCAGCATCTTTTCCACCAAAGAGCTCACTCTGGACCCAAACCAAGGCAGCACAGCTCAGCCAGGAAGCAATGCTCAGACCCTGTGGGAGGAGGGGGATGATGGGTGGGATTCAAAGGAATTGCAGATTAGGAGGGGCCTAAGCTGTGCCAGTTGGGGATGGGTGCATCAGAGGACCCCACCTCTCTGATGCCCACCCTTTCTAACCCACAGGACGCAGCCTATCACTGCATAGCTGCCATGTTTTACCTGAGCGCCTCTGTCCTGGAAGCCCTGGCCACCATCCACATGCAAGAAGGCTTCACCTTCAAGCACTACCATGAGAACATCTCTGCCGTGGTGAGTCCCTGGCTGCCCCCTCACCTGCCGTGGGCACATCAAGTCGTTCCCACTGCCCCCTGCAGAGGCTCTGAGCCAAAGGCTACCAGTATCCCTCTCCTTTTGCAGTTGTGCTAACTTTGGAAGGAAGTCAAACCTTCCCCTCATTTCTGAAGCGGCAAAACCTCCTGCGAGGGGATGTTATGTCCCCATACGTCCCCAGGATTCACTAATCACCAGGTCAGGGCTTCTGGGGCTGCAGCCTGGGTAGCCACAGGGCCTTCATGCTGGGTGGCTGGGCGTGACAGGCATCAGAGCAGGTAATGGCCACTGAATGACTGGCACCATGGAGCCCTTCTTGAGCAATCTCATTTAACACTCACCTTGCAGCCACCCTGTGACATTGTGGCACTATCCCACCCATTTCCTAGATGGAGAAGCAGGCCTACTTCTCATCTGGGCAAGTTGTCAAGGTCAGCAGGCCTGCTGTCAAGGCCAGGTGCTCTGCCACCACACTCTTAGCACCAGTTTGGAGCAGTATATCTGGTCACTTAGGTCTCCTGACTCTCTCCAAGTGTCATCCACTGAGCAGACAGGGCCAGGGCACTCAGGTCAGGGTTGGATTTTGTTTTTAATGGAATGAGTCCAAATGACAGGAGTCAGCGGCTGTATTGTTTCATCATTTTTTCTCAGTGGTACATGTGTGCCCTTGGACCAGTGTACTAACTCACAATATAAAACCATTTCCAGCTGGGTAGTCTATAGTTAGAACCACTAAGCTCTACTGAATTCCATATTTTTCCTTTGACTTTTTAATCAAAGGGAGGCATACATTCAGAGAAGTGCACAGGTTACAAGTGTGCAGAATGGCAAATATTCAGAAAGTGAACACCCCTGAATAACCAGTATTCAGCTTAAGAAAGAGGACAAAATAAACAGCTATGAGAAATCCTCCCCCCCACACACTTTTTTTGATAATCCTGGGATTTGAACTCAAGGCCTCAAGCTTGCAAGACAATTGTTCTTCTACTTGAGCCATATTCCCAGTCCTTTTTGCTTTAGTTATTTTTCAGATAGGGTCTCACACTTTTTGCCTGGGCCAACTCAGACTATAATCTTACTTCTGCCTCCCAAGTAGCCACATCTATAAGTGTTCACTACACACTCAGTTTGACTTGTGAGATAAGGTCTCACTAACTTTTTTTTGCCCAACCTGGCCTCAAACCACAATCCTCCAATCTCTGCCTTCTAAGTAGCTGGGATTACAGGATAAGTCCCCTTCTTGTCTTGTCCCTTTCACTGTGTACCTCTGCCACTAGCCAGTTTCTGATTTCTAGCTTCCAGTTCAGTTTGTCCTGCCTTTGAACTTCATATAAATGGAATTCTAATGGGTGCATTCTTTTATGTCTGACTTCTCTCTCATCAGGCCTTATTTTTGTGAGATTCCTCCATGTGGCTGGGTGTAGATTGCTTATTCTCATTGCTGTACAGTACTCCATTGTAGAATAATCACAACATCAATTTATCCATTCCACACTTGATTATCTCCCCACATTTCGTTAGTAGAGTTGGATAGACATGAAAATGCCCAGACAAAGCCAAGAGCGCTAGAATCAAGAATCAGAATGTTCTAGAGCAAGCAGATGCACAGAACTACAACCACCAAGGTGAAGTGTGCACCTGGTTCAACATAAAGCCAGGAGTTTCTGTTCAAAATATCAACCGGATCAGCACGTGGGGGAGAAAGAGTCATCATTAGTTGGGATTTAACCCAGATTCTGCCCAACCATTATGCCCTTCAGATGGTCTTGGGAGTGGTCATTCCCAAGGGCCTAGGAGTCCAGGGAGCACCTTCAAACCTCTCTCACACATCCCTGGCCTTTGGAAGCACCCAGGTTCCCACTGGTCCTGGAAGTCCCACCTGGCCAGAACAGGTGATTATGGGAGGGGGGAGGCCTGCTCATTGGCGTGTGACTGCTGCTTTTCTACAGGGTACTTTGGAGTTCCCAAACAAGTTCTCTGAAATTTGTTATTAAGTAACTCGGCCACTCAGGGCCTCTGGCCAATAAGGGTGGAGAGTTCGGCCATGCATGGGGGCAGGGAAAATTCAGGTGCAGTGATGGCTGGCTGGTATTTATGAACATTTTCAAGAGTCACAGAAGCATGACTGTTTTAAATGTAGAGCCTGGACTAGAAACTCTTGACCCCTGCCCAAGGTCACAAAACCAGGTGCAGATATTAGACTTGGGGAGCAGGCAAGCCTTTAAAGAGGCCAGCCACTCAGAGTAGGGTGATGGGAATACACAGTGCCCATGTGAACATACCGGCCCTTTACCACATGTCCAGGGTCTTCAAGAGCTTGTTTGGAGGGTCTAGCAGGGGACCGCAGCTACTCGTCTACCCTCGACCAAAGAACGGTCCTCCTCTGTTGGGGATGGTCGTCCTCTCCAATCGAGTGCACATCTTTTGGAGGGACGCACATGGAGTGGTGAGGGAGGAAGGGGACACCACCTAGCCGGCCAGATCAGCCAAATCAACCCTGGCAATCAATGGGGTGGCAGATGTCGCAACCAGATTGCCCTCACATCCATCCAGGGCCTTTGTTTCTAGTGCCAAAGTGATTGGCTACATCATACAACAGCTTCTCAGTAAGGGCCTTCTTTTCAACAAAAGCTTGGTGTCCCCTGCCCTGTACCCCACTTCCCATGAAGCCTGGCTCCCTTACCCGTGCCTGGGAAATTAAGAATCCTTAATTCCTGGGAATTAAGATTCTGACAGGGTCTGAGGGTATCCAGGTAACATGGACCCCTTAATCAGAGCCAGAACTCCACACACCTATAATCTCCTAGAATAGCCACAGGGGAGAGCAGCTGGTGGATGCTGGTCTTACTGGTGTGTGTGGAGAAGTCGTCCATAGACAGTCATTGATACTTGCTGGGATGCTCTCACTGGAGGGGCCTTTGAGGGACCCTGTGTCTAATCAGCTGACTCCAATGAGACACTGAATGCTGGTGCGCACTAACTAGATCATCTGGGGCTCTGTACTGAGAGGCCCAGGGTGAGCATCTGGGCTCAGCAGGAAAGAACGTGTATGAGTGGTAGGAGGCAATGGCTACCCACATGCTTTGCGTGTGTCACCCCGAGTGCCATGTGACACACTGTAGACAGCCCCACGCTATGCCCTCCCATTAATGGTCTTTCCTCTGGTTTCAGGTGTTTGCCTATGTAGTCACACTGCTCTACGTGATCCACGCACTGTACTCTTTAATAAGGTGGAAGTCTTCGTAAAGCAGCAGAACGTGAGCTGGAAACCCAGACAGTGTTTGTTAACTCATCAGCCCATCTACCAGCGTAACTCTCTAGAACACAGACACTATGGTGGAGAAAAGAAAACAACCCTCCCCCCAAAAAAAATAAGCAATGCTCTGTTTCTTGCGGGTGTCATGTTTACACTCCCATACGCCTTCCGCCAGGGATTGGGGTCTTGCTAGGTTTAACCTCCCATTCCTGAGCTGTCTTTCTAGGGTCACTTCCTGTCTGTGAGAGGCGCCAGTGGGGTGGGAAGTGGGGACTGAGATCTGAGAAGGAAACATGAACCCCTGCTGACCCCTGGACCAGACCTTGAGAATTGCCTACTGGAATTTTCCACAGGCTCTTTTGAGCATCTCAACCCTTGGCATGTTTCTAAGTCTTTGTGGATGTTCCGAGTGTCATAGGGACTGCAGCTCACTCAACACAAGTCTCCAGATGTCCGTGGTGGAAGTTGATACCCTTTGAAATACTTTATAAAGTGCCTTTATGTCCATTTTTCTGTGGAGTGGTTTTATTTTGTTTTGTTTTTAATTCCTCCAAATCGGGGACACCATCCTATCATCTTTCTGAGGAATTCTTTGACTTCACCTGAATCTCAAAAGGTAGCATGAAGTGACAATTCAAATGACACTGCATGTGCTTGGCCACTGCCTTCTCAGAGCTCCCTGCTGGGGACCCCACGCTCCCTGCAATGCCCACCAGAATGGTGTCCCCCGCTGGAAACTGGCCAAGAACCAGCCCAGTTCCCCACCTATTCTCTGCAAGACACAGTAGTCTGTCCTCGAGTTCCTTAAGCTCAAAGAAACTAGGTGTTGATGTTTCCTCTCACTCCCCACAAAGCTGATTTGAAATGTTCTGGACTGCGTGCTCTGTGTCTGTTCCAATTACTGATGTGATAGTCAACTGGTTTTAGAATGTCCTTGGGCCACTCCATAGGAAAGAAAGGGGACCAAACTACACAGTGAAAGGAAGTAAGTTGACAAGTAGCAGATGCCACATTTCAGGTGTAAGATAGCTGGGCTGCAAGAAGACCCTGTGATTGGGAAGGAGGACACTAAGTTAGGATCTAGAAAGCCCAGCTCCCCTGGTAGGAAGAGCCCTTGGCCCCATGGGTCAAAGAAGTGAATTACATTCCAGAGATGGGACCCCAAACAAGATGGCTCAAACACTGTCCACTCCCAGCTATGCAGGTATGTGGGTGGCAGAAGCATGACTTCCTGCTGGCAACCAGAGAGAAAAATTCAAGCCTCCAGCAGAGGACTTAACTAGATGACATTTTACTTCCAACTTGGAATTGGTCCCATGACAAAATTAGATCTCGGAATTTTTTATTTTGGGGGAAGGGGCTAGGATGGAACCCAAGGACCCAAGGCCATTTTAGGCAAGTGCTTTACCTCTGAGCCACCTCCCCAGCCTTAAATTGGACCTTGGTGGCATGTTCAAGAGATCCAGTGTTGTCCCAGGTTCATTGGTACCAAAAACCTGTCACTTTTGGTGAGTCTACTTAGCACACCAAATTTTTGTATTAAATTATAAATAAAAGGTTTGGTTGGGGCTTAAAAATTAAACTACAAATTTTAAAATGATAGGAAGTTTGCCATGTGTTTAACAAAATTTACAATTGAGTGTTGATTGAGGAAAGTCTCAATTTTTCAATAAAACTGCTCCGCTGTATTACACTAACCCAGTGGCCCAATGCAAATGAGGCTCATTTTTGGCAAAAGGAAGGAAGGAAGGGAGGGAGGGAGGGAGGGAGAGGGAAGAAGGAAGGAAGGGAGGGAGGGAGGGATAGGGAAGAAGGAAGGAAGGAAGGAAGGAATAAAGGAAGGATGGAAGGAAGGAAGGACGGACAGACAGACTTAGCTGAATTTCCTAAGAGTTTCTCAATGTTTTACATTTTTAAAGAAACTTCCATTTAAAGAAAATTCTGTATGATCTTCCTCTCTCTTTTCTCAGTTGCGAATTGCTGTGGACTTTGCAGATGGTTCTCTAACCTGACTCTATCATTCCTTCTATGCTGAGTCATTTTTAAAATTTGCACTTTCATTTTCCATTTGAATGGAATCTTATTTGAATTGAATGTGAATGGAGTGGACAGACATGGTTTTACCTCTCCCAGTCTCAAAAACTGCCTTCTCCAGATCTTGCTCCTCCTCCTCTCCCTATCTCCCCCATGCCCAGGTTCCCCACTCCTGTAGCTCAGTGCTCGGCTCTGTTCGTATCCAGTAGTTCAGGGTTTGAGGTAAAGCACTTGGCAGATTAGGCACCCCTGCCACCAAGGCCCCTGCTCCTCTGGGAACCCACTGGCCTGTAAGAGGCTGCTGGACAATAACCAGAAGGAACTCAGGCTGCAGAAAACAGGTGCTGGTCAAGCACCTTTGTGTGCTGGCTCCACTGGTCCCTCAAGGAAGCAGGATGATATCTGTACCTCAGAGCTTCTCATGGCCGGCACATCTCACATATTTCACTGGGGTCTTGGGCAAGAGGAATTGCTCTGGAGGATCTTCTGGTATCATTCCTAAGGGTAGATGGACATTCCCTAAATACTGCCTTTCCCATGGCCCTAATTTAGATCAAAGATCAGGCAGCACCAACACCTGACTCCAACACCAACACAAACACTCAAAGCGCCCCATTCCCACCTGTGCAGTCAACTTGCTGCCAGGCACCTAGTAAGCACTTTCACATGTGTCCACAGCCTCCTGGCCTCTTCTCTATTCTACAGGTGAGGAGTCGAGCCCCTGCAGCTGGTGGACTGGAGCTGGGTTTGGGCCTCTGACTCTGAGGTCCTGAGGAGACCAGGTCTGTTCCTGTGTAGGTCTGTCCTCTGGCCTCTCAGGCAGTGACCACGAGGTCTTATGGTGGCCAGGGGCCTTCAGTGGAAGATGAAGTCAGGCATTAGGGACAACCCAGACTGCCAGCAGGCCTGAAGGAGGCCATGTGGGTGGGTTGTTTTCCCGAGAGAGGCTGACTGCTCTGAGCTGCTGGGTCATCACAGTGTGAGGTCAGGTGGTTTCTGAGTTCCACTTTGCACCAAAGGCCCAGTCAGTGGATACTTTATTAAGGACCTGAAGAACTAGGTGTTTTTAAGCTCACAGAACAGATAACTAAAACCTCTCAGGGCATGAGAAAGGATTAAGAAGCAGCCAAGAGCCCAAAGTCTGAGTCACAGGTCTAGCTGAGGAAAGGGACAGCTCCCCTTCCACCTTACAAGCGGGGTCATTGGAGCAACTGGGCCTGGGGGTCACTGCTCAGACCTCATCTTCCTCCAGTTCACCCACGGACACATATGAACACTCAGCGCCCAACCAGAGTCCAGCAGGACACAGGCCAGTGCCCTGTAAATACAGCTGCATGAATGAGTGGGGCCCGTGCCTCAGGCATCTCCAGCCAACCTGTCTTCATGCAGGTCTCTTGGGAAATGACAGCAAGGAGATCTTGTGGTGGACAGATGCCACATGTCAGGGTGAGGATCTAGGCATTGGGACAGTGGTCAGAAGAGCTCCACCATGACTTAGGTCCACAGTGATTTGGTGAGCCATCACTGCTTCCTGCTCTCTGTGGCCCTCAGGGGCAGCGCCATGGGACTGACAATCAGGTGTTGCAAGTGTGTGCAGAGGGTGAGCACCAGTGGGAGGCACCAGGTGAAAGGCAGCTGAAGATCAAATCCAATTAGGGCGTTACGAGCTCTCACCCATGACATTACTGGCTATGGTCCCTTGCTTTATGGAGGCTCTGTGTGTGTGTGTGTGTGTGTGTGTGTGTGTGTGTGTGTGTGTGTGTGTAAGGGACGCTCCTGGTGGCCTTTCCCATGCAGGATGACCTGGCAGGAGGCACATCCCACACAGTCCCCCTGCCCCAGAGGCTGTCCTGCACACTGTAGGTCCACAGGACCTGGCTGTCTGGAAAAGACACACTTAATAGGATCTGGACTTCATTAGCATCCTAGACTCTAACTCTGAAAACCACAAGTCGCAAAAGCCAACCAAATGGAGGGTTGACAGCCTCTCTGCACTGCCCTGAAAGAGAGAGCAAAGCGTTCGTCCCGTGCTGCCAACCGTGGGCTGGAGCAAGCCAGCCTGTGGGCCCACACAAGGGCCCGTTGTTCCTGGAATCAATTGGGACCGGTGTGGGGTCACAATGGGGCCTTTCAAGGAACAAAGCGCCTCTGGCCCAGCCAAGTGTCTCTGCACACGTGGGCATCTGCCCAGGGTATTTGAAATAATGTGATTTAGAAAACAGATTTGAAGCAATTTTCCCCACTCTGTGTGATCCAGTGGCTATTGTTCTGTCCCCATCATGCCCAGAGGTGGCAGCTGCAAAGAGCTGGGGCTTTGGAGGCAGATGCTGGGGCTTGCTTGACGGCACCAGCAGGGTCTGGTACATACAGGTAGCCGAGCTGCCAGGACCCCTGTCAGCTGCATGTGGCCCTGCCCAGGCACCCAGTGCTGCTGGAAACACTTTAGTGCTTCATTTAGTTCTCATGATAACCTCATGTGGCCCATTACTGTGACAAAATATCCAAGATACTCAACTTAATAAGGGGAAAGGTTTGTTTTGGCTCACAGTGTTGTTTTGGGCCTGTGGCAGCACAGTACATCATGGTGGGAGTGTGTGGCAGAGGAAGCCTGTTCACCACATGGCAGCCAGGAAGCAAAGACAGAGACCTGAAGAGATCCCAGTGTCCCAGTATTCCCTTCGAGGGCATGTCCCCAGTGACCTAACTTCTACTATCCACCTCTGAAGAGTTCTACCATGTCTCCAAAGAACCACAGCTTCATGACCAAGCCTTCAACACATGGCCTTTGTGACCCAAACTATAACAAGTCAGTACCATTTAGAATGAGGAATCTGAGGCACAGAGAGGTAAAGTGATTTTCCTAAGACCACCCAGCAGAAGGGTATTCTAGTTCCTGCGGTGTCTCACCACAACAGGGTCCCTGTGCCTCTAGGAGCAGAGGGCACAGGCATGTCACATTCACAACACTGGCCTCACCAATGCTGAAGGCCTCAAACAGAACATGAGGGATGACAGGGAAGCCCAGCCAGGAGCCAAACCTGCCTGGGAGGTGCATCTCAGATGAGGGAGAATTGCCAGACAAAGGAGTTGGCCAGGATGACCCAGCCCAGGCCTGTTTTGGGGTGGGAGTCTCAGGAGTTTGGGGTCCCACAGGCAGAGCTACAGCTTGGCTCTCACCCAAGAAACAGACCCTGCAAGCTGTCTGTTGGGCAGGGGTAACATCACCATGGGCCTGAGCAGTGGCAGGGAGTGGCAGGCAGCTGGACCAGGAGGAGGTGGGGCAAGCTTGATGCGATTTTGTGAACTGAAACTGGCAGAAGAAATTGTCCAAGGACTGATTCCTGAGCTGGCCCAAGTGTGCTGCCTCCCTCAGACTCAGTGACTTGTCAGCAAAGTGGGAACATTAATCCTGCCTCACAGGTTGTTGGGAGGACTTGAGAACTTGGTTCAGTAAGAG